CTCAGTACGAAACAATAGATCTCCTGTTTCCGTCTGTCTGTCTGTCTGCCGTCTATCCGGATTTTTATTAGACAGATAATCTCCGAAACTACTGAACCAGTTGTAAAATTTTATGTGTATTCCGAATATTGTGTAGATGGCAAAACGCTAATCATCTCTACCAACAATTTATTGACGTCATCTCCAAAATTTACAGTAGTAAATTTAAATTTTATAAAATAAGATACTCCTGCGCATGTGATTTGTGAACCTCTGTTGAATTTTTATCCTAAACATCCAGATTTGTTATAGGAAGTAAATCGTTAATACTTTTTTTTCGTTTATAAATTTTGATGATTCCAAAAGCATTGTTTGTTATTTCTAATCCAATTCTCGTCTGAATGACTCGGGTTTAAGGACTGGATTATCGGACGTTTTACATGAAATTTCTAAATTTAAATCAGTAGAATGTCAAATGGTAAAGTTTCACTCCACATTTTTTTCATCTATTTAAGCAATTTTTTTTAAAACTGTTTTTTCATCTGTTTTAAAGTACTGTACCATTTTTTTAAACAAACAGGCCAATTTTGACGTTGAAGATTTTTATTGCTTTTTTTATAGAATAAAAAGGGCAACTTTTCGTCGTGAAGTTTTTTTTAATGTATTTTTTTAAACATTTGACCCCATTTTTAATGTTTTTTTTTTTTAAATTGTGGATTTCTAAAGATTTTGACTATGATTCTAGCGGATCCGTAGAGACACCGTTGACTTTGAGATTGTTACAAAAATAAGAAATTGGTCGAAGGTTATTTCAATAGAACTTCCCTCGTCTCTGAAGTGTAACCAAATAAATCCCACTTTTTCGAAAAATTATATTTTTTTTGCAATTTTTTTTCTGATAACCTCTATAAAGTAAAATCCAGTGCCGTAAATAACGGTCTCACAGCTTTTTTGACTTGAATTTTTCAATTTTTCAATCTTTAATTTTTTTGTTTCGTCATTTTTTCGATTTCAAATTTTTCGAATTGAGTTTCTCGAGTTTTAAATTTTTAATTTTCGAGAAAAATGAAAAAGGACAAGTTATTCTACGTGGCTTACATTAGAAGTACAGTCCAAAATTGTTGAATAATATATATATTGACAGAAAACAAAGATTAAGCCCCACCCACTCGTCCCGATTTCAACTGTGATGAGTTTTTCGTTCCTAATCAGACCGAGAGGCAGAGTTTAATTGTAACATCAAAATTTCTCTAGAAAATTCTATCTTTTTAAAAACATATTTCATATGGTCATTTTTTGCAGAGAAATGAGAATTTTGCAACTAAGCTCCACCCTTCAGCTCACGATGAATAAAAAATTCATCACAATTGAGAAGGGGCGGGAGGGCGGGGCTTATATTTTGTCCATTTTTTCTTAATATATGAAGTTTTTTTTACTAACAAGAAACTGAAAACATTATAACTATCTTGTTGTTAAAGATTAAGCGATTCGAAATACATACTGGGAATTAAAAAATCGGAAAAGCGGATAATTGCGAAATCCAAAAACTGCAAAATTGAAAAATTTTAAAATTAGAAAATCGTGGAATTGAAAAATGAAAATTTTGAAGAATGAAATAAACGACTGAAAAATTGTGACTTAAATCAAGAAAATGAAAATTAAAAATAGGACAAATGAAAAATAAAAATAAAGAACATGAAAATTGAGGAAACAAAAAATTGAAAAATCGAAAAATTAAAAATTGAGAAACTGAAGACGTGAAGAATGAAAAATTATATTATTGAAAAATTGCAAAATTGAAAAATTTCAAAACAAAAAATTCAAGAAACGATAAACTGAAAAGTTTACAAACGTGAAATTGAAAAAATTAGGGTCGGTTTACGGAAAGCGAATTAAATATTGAATCCTGGATTAATTTAACATAGGATTAAAATGTAGAATATGAGCCCATGATTGGTTAAAACATGCGCGTTGCATAGCAACGCACCTCAATTAAAATTAATCGCGATTAACTTTTAATTCGCTTTCCATAAACCGGATCTTAAAGTTACAAAAACGAAAAATGATGAAAAATGGAAAAATTGAAAAATGAAAGAAAATGCAAAAATATCTCAAAAATTGGTCGAAGGTTAATATAAATCCAGATTTTTCGAAAACTTATGAGATTTCCCCAGTAACATTTTATATGTAATCAATATTGAAGTTCTAACATTTAAATAATATGGGTAACGACAGATTTTTTTTTTTTTAAATCAATATAGGTTTTAAATATTGAATATATATTTATTTTCAATGTTTAATACTTATTTAGTTCAGAACATTTAATAAATGTTCTTCATATGAAAGGGGGTATGGATATATAAAAAAACTTGTATGGAATACAATATAATATTTATTAAATACAAAAATACATTGTCACTGGAAATAACAGTGTATTTGAAACGTTGCGGCAATATTTATACATTTAAAAATTATTTGTCCTAGAACCAATTCGTTGAAAATTTGTACCGGGTGATTTTTTTTTAATTTCTGCTTTTTTTTTCAGTTTCACTGCTTATGTCAGCAGTGAAACTGAAACTGTTGGCATAAGCTTCATGGGCAGAAATTTAAAAAATCACCTGATGTGAAACACAATATAAATTTTTTAAACATAAAAATACACTGCCAACTTACAATGAAATAAAAATACATTGTCAATGGAAATAACAATGTTCTGCTACATTTCAATCGTTATACAGAAATATTGATTTAATAATTATTTGCTCTATAACCGATTCATTGAAAAGCGATATAATTAATTAAAATAAAAAAAATCATACCTCATGTTTTTTTCGATGAGAATTCACTCTTGCTTTTGTCTGCGCTTAATGAGGTCCTACCATTTTTTAAATTTCAGCAGTTGTGGCGTTTTTGTGACGTTTCCGTGTGGTACCTACAATTAAATTAACTTACAAATTTCGTAATTTTTAAAAAATCACATAACTTTACATATTGTAGCCTTGTTAATTGTGAGTTCACTAAAAGAGAGCTTATTTTTTCCTTGCCCTGAAAACTTGAAAGCAATTTGGTTCATTATTAATAATTTCTTCAAAATTGCATAAGTACCTACATGTTTTTTTACATCTTCTCTTCCTGAAAAATAAACATTATTATCAGTCTGAAACTAACTAGTATATAAATACTAGGAGTTAATAATAAGAATAATAAATGCTTACCAATTCATTCAATTTCTGCGTATCTCCCGCAATTTCTAACTGGATTTCTTCTTTTTTTTGGTTGCGCCCGGACATTCATCATTTTGTTTCTACATTCATAATGTGCTTATATTCAGGAATATTAAACCTCTTAAATATACTTACGTGTTGAGAAATTGCATTTTCTGCATTGCTTGTAGAAGTGAGGTTATGTAGAATTAGTACTGTTTTCTTGACAAAACGGTATTTACTACACTATTCTGAATTTATCGCAGTACCGATAATCACAATTCACAATAGAACAAACACCATGAACTTACAGAAAATACTTTTTGAACCACCAACAACAACAGAAAATATGTATATGTTGCACATTGCGCAAACGCGTTCCAGCAGAGCAAGCGCAAATTTAAGTAAGTTTTACAAAAATGATGAATAAAATTATTATTTTTTGTTCGCAAAAATAAAAAAAATATTACTTTTTAATGAGCAATTAATAGTGTGCAACACGATATTTCGAATAGTGTCAATTTCACAATAGGTGGTATTTTTTCAAATCAATTTTTAATATTGCTCCGATAAAAACCCTATGACATAAATTACCTACAAGTTGTCCCAACATGGTACTTTTTTTTCATTTTTGTTGTTCGGTATCTTGATAAAAAGACATTTCATAAATATGTAATATATGTTGAAATTCATATATAAATTTATAAATATAAAATGAATATTATATAAATATTTGTAATATCTAATCAACATTTAATATTATATCAATCTTATATAAATATTAGAAAAATATTGCTTGCTACTGGGGTTGACATTTTACAATGTAACTTTGAAATTGTAAAACCAAAAAAAAAAAACTTGCAAGCTTTTTAAGATTATCATAACCACAGTAAATCGTTAATCAATTTTTTTTTGTATATGGCTTCCTAAAAATGATGACGTCATTTTATAATTTTGCAGAACAAATGTTCCTTAAATTTTATAGAATTACATAGCCCACGTTTGTGTAATTTAATACTGAGATTTTTGGGAAAAAAATTCAAAATTGCATTTTACAATATAACTTTAAAATTGCAAAAGCGAATGTACTGATAAATACTGTAAACATTAAAAAAAAATTGTTCTTTTAAAGCCTTCCCAAAAAATCATAACGTCTTCTTAGAATTTTGTCGAACAAATAATGTCCTTTAAATTTTATAAAATAACATACGTAATTCTGCATTGTGATTTATGAATCCGTGTTGACTTTTTACCTTTGCATCGAGATTTTTGAAAAAAAAAAGTCAACATTGTACGACAATATTTTAAAATTTAGCTTTGAAATTGCAAAAACTGAATGCTTTGAAATTATGCCAATATTTTAAGATTGTCTGAAACATAGTAAATCGTTAATCAAAATTTGCCTGTTATCTTCCATTTTTGCCGAATTCCTTCAAATTTATGAGTGCTTTAGGGAAAAAACTGGGTATGAATTAATCAATAAGTTAAACATATCCTGAGAAATTGAGAATGTTTATATTTTTCCCGTTAGTTCTGCATTAAATTAATTTTATAATTTTTGCACTAACGGAATTTGTCGGACTATACATACTTCAAGAGCGAGGGAAGTTCTGTCAGTATAAACCTTACACAATCCGACACTGTAACCAGACAACTCAAACATCGTTATTATTTCTACATACTTCAACAGAAAAAATGTCGCCGACGGAAATTATTATGTAAAAAAATAAGTACTGAGCATAATTACTGGATCATTTATAAAACGAAAGTGTATTTTAATCGCTTGGTTAATTAAAATTATATGAAAGGAAAATTCCATAGTGTATAATCAAATTTTATTTTATATCATACAAGTTTTGACTTGTTAGCTGATAAACGTAATAAGTAAATGTATATTTTCCAATACAATTCTTACAACCACTGGTGTTTACTAAAAATACATATAAAAATGACAATAAAATTATGCCACCTTGTGACTTGTTGCTTAAGCGCTATATACAAAAGTTTTAGGACACGGACGGAAATATCACCCATTTCATACGCCACACACATACAACTAACATAAAATGATTTACATTTATTTATAATTTACCCTTCTTCATTAGTAAAAACTTTGATACATATGGTGCAACAATCTCTGGATTGTTATTATGAACATCATGAGTACCATCCACCTGTTTGATTCGAATATTTCTATATCTTTGCAAAAATTTTGTAACAGGTTTCATGTACATCTGCTGCAGTTCAGAATCGCGTCCCAGCAACATGAGCACAGGGCACGTCACTGGAAATTTTTTCAAAGTATCAATAATATATCGAAAATCGTGAATGGGATTCACGAAACTGTTCATTCTTGGGTCCAAAGTAAAAGCATACTTTCCGTCTGGTGCTTTTGTTATTGACCTGTGTATCAAAGCTTGTGCAGCTTCACGAGTTATATGGCCGTTTCTTCTCTGATCCTGTAATTTTTGCAGGGCTTCATTGTATGTGTAAGTTGGTCTACTTTTTGTTTTCATTTTCTCATTTAACTCGATAATATAATCAAACTTATCTGTGAGATTTTGTTGAAACTGTCCCACATGTATGGGAAAGAAGTGTATAGTGTCCAGCATTATTAATTTTTCTACATATTCTGGATACAACCGTGCAAATAAGAAACCAATTTGGGCTCCATAGCTGTGTCCTAGTATTATATACTTTTCTCTTTTGTAATACTGCATTATTAATTTGTAGACGATCACGTAATTAATTGTATAGATTGGCAAAAAAGGTGGGAAATGGCTGGATCTACCATGTCCAGGCAAGTCAATGCAGATGTAGCAAAATGAAGTGGGTAAAAGCGGGATTAATCTATCGAAGGAGCCGGCGTTATCCATAATCCCGTGAATCACTAACACGAGAGGATCGTTTTGGTTGCCCCATATTTTTGCTGAAAAACATAACCTCAGTTTCAGTCCTAACCTTACTTTCTGCTACTGTACGAATTAGTCTACTACAAATTGCTTTAAATAAATTATGTTACCTGCAACGTGGCCCCACGGAACCGGAATTTCAACTTCTATTACTTTTGTTTCCATTGTGCCTTAATACTTTAAAACTATCCTTTTACTTTGTAGTTTGTAGGATATAATTATATCGCAGTTATAATCATACCATATACCATAGGTCAGGAATACACTGATGCTCAAACGCTATTGATGTAAGCGGACTCAACATCATTGTCCTAGTATATAGAAAACAAGTACAATTGTTACGTGATAAGGATTATACAGCATTTTTAGGGTACAAACTACAAAGTTTAATAATAATTAAATGATTAATGTTTTTTAATTTTGTTTACTTTATTCGTCCATATTGTTTTGTATATTAGGATGATTAGGTATTATAAGCAAAAATAAAACGAAATGACGAATGGAAAAAACAGATAAATGCAAAGCTATATGGACAAATGATTTTCCTTTTTCTTTTATCTGTTTACAGCGTCAGTGTTGAGGTAAAAGGTAGATTCGTGTAAAAGTAGCAAACAAAAAAATGACGGATTTCCTTTTTAATATTCGCGCCTTTGCATTTGCGGCTTCACACGACGCAAACGCAACCCAACGACAGTTAATTAGGGATTTCAAATAAAAATCTTAGTTATGTTGGCACCTTTCGTGTATCGTTCTTAAAAATCATGAATGATGCGTATCCGAGATACCCAAAGTGTGAATTTTACCACATTTTCTAAATGAAAATGAAATTTTTTTAACAGCACAATGAACGGTAGATTTTTGTTTATGTATATTATTCAGTGTATTTAGCTTTCCAAAGTTTTGAAATGTAAAAGAGTGCATGCCCATATTATTGTAGTTAATTACACTACATTCTTTGTTTGTAATTACCACCAATATTTGGGATGAAATAATTTGCGTTAGCTATTTTATATTTATTGATTTGTTGTTGAATATTTCTCAGATAGAATAAGCGCTTTAAATAATAGATTAAACGTTGATTGATTTTTCCTGCACTTTGCATCTTGTAGGTTATATAATTAGACCATAAAATTGATTTTAGTGTATACAATGCCTGGAGTAGCGGATATGGGTATGGTCTGGATGGGGGCTGGCCAACCTAATCCTGAAATGTCCATGGAGTTAATGCCAGGTGATAATTCAGACATGTTGCTCGAACAAGATACTTCGTATTTCACCCCATCCATCCATAGCATGTCCAATCAGTCTATGGACGATATCCACACCATTCACAGTTCGCAAATGGTAAATTTTCCACGTACAAATCATAGTTGTACGTCATTCATGGAATTTCAGGATGGAATGGAAAATTTAGATATGATGCAGTACATAGATATGAAACACGAAAGCAACGATTCCAGTTATGCAGAGGACGACAGTCAACATCCAATATACATGATAACCACTGCCACTCAAACTTTGCCATGTCCCACGCGAAAAATTAAGCCCATAAAACACCCAGGTTTGGTTCTCAAAACACCAATAGCATATCAGAGCAATACCGATCCATCTGTTATCCCAATCCAGAAAGATGGAATAGGTACGTGCGCTAAAAATAATTACATAACCTTCAGAATTTTCTTTTATAGCTGTGTGTGAAAAATGTGGCGCAATTGGTGTAAAACACGCTTTCTACACCAGAGAGAGGCGCTTCTGCAGCATGGCTTGCGCTCGAGGCTACAGTGGATTGATCCCCGAACCACTACCGCTATCGCAACAGCAGACACCTGAAAACCATCATTTTGCCAAGCACCGATTTACCCTGAAAACAGAAGACGATTTTACAAACACTTTAACCGACCAGGATTTCCCGCAATTACCTCCTCCCCCGATTTTGCCCCCTGTGGACGACACTGAGCCCCTAATCAGGCGAAAATCTGCAGAACTTGCCAATTCACATGACTGGGATTCGCAGTTAAATGACCAGTGTTTTATAGCAGCTCCCGTGACGTGCTTTAAACACGCCCCGATGTCAGACATTTGGGAGAATATAATGGTTGGAATGAAGGTGGAGGTTGAGAATACGGATTGTGATAATGTTTCGGATGCATTTCCGGATTCATTTTGGGTAGCTACAGTATTAAAAATTGTGGGGTATAAAGCTCTGCTGCGTTACGAGGGGTTTGGCTCAAATGATTCAAAGGATTTCTGGGTGTCGTTGTGTTCGAATCAGGTGCATTCGGTGGGGTGGTGTGCCACGAGAGGGAAGCCACTCATACCACCTAAAACCATTGAAGATAAATATAACGATTGGAAGGATTTTTTGAGTAAACGATTGACAGGAGCGCGAACGTTACCCTCGAATTTTAGCAATAAGGCTAGTGATAGTCTTAAATCTAGATTTCAATGCGGCCTTAATTTAGAAGTTGTGGATAAAAATAGGATATCGCAAGTTAAGGTTGCCATTGTTCATAAGATTGTAGGCAAGAGATTGAATGTTAAGTATTTTGATTTGCCTTCGGATGATGGAGGATTTTGGTGCCACGAGGATTCGCCGCTTCTTCATCCAGTTGGATGGGCAAAGAAGGTGAGTTTAGGGAATAAAGGGATAATTATAGCTTGATTTTTAATATTTTGTTTTTTTAAAAAATTTTGACAGTAAGAAAAATAGGTTAGAGTTTAAAAAATACTGACATAAGTTTTCTCTAACACAGCAATAAAAAGTGATCAGACAGACATGGATTTTTGAAAGTTTGTCTTTGATTGTTTCATTTTCAACTAAAACTGTCAGATTGACGGTAATTTGCAAAGACGAAAATTCTATCAAAGTCAAAAATAAAATAAAAAACCGTGATTACTAACCTCAAACCTTTATTAATTTCAACATCTCTGAGGCTAGGAAATTCGGACCCTACATCCCTATTAAGCAGTTATTTAATAAATGTTCTCGATTACGTCATTTATTGTCTAGAGGGGGTGACTAAATAAATTTTAATCGTTGATCTATAATAATAAACTAGTTCTAACATCTTACCAAAGTTATCTAGGTTCTAAGTTAAAATGTGGATAAATTATTAAACCAAAAATAAAGAAGCATATTATCATATTATAAATTTCCATCCTCTACAAGATTTCTTTAACAAAATTTCGACATGATTAGAGGTTTCCCATGTTTGTAATAACTTAAAGCGCGTGCAAACTTTCAAAGCAATCGGTGTTACAATTTCTAAGTTAAATTGTAAAATTTTGTTGTGCAGTTTTAAGTAAGGTTTAAGTACTTCGCAAAATTTTGAGACGACGTCATCAAATTTTTGATGGGGATGATCAGACATATTATAATTACCGTTTTACCATTTACTCCATATGCTTAAAGTATGTCTAAAATTTCACAACAATCAGTCTACTAATTTCAGAAATCGTTTGTATAATAAAATCGCTGACAGATAACAGGCACACATGAGCTAAGAACTTCTAGAATACGAAATAATAAGTCTTCCGTTTCCGTCTGTCTGTCTGCCATCTGTACAGATTTTTATTAGACACATAATCTGCGAAACTAACGACTGATTGTTGTTAAATTTTGGAAGTAAGTCATGAATTTATCTAATCACCTCCGGCAACGATGGGATGACCTTATCCCCAAAATTTACAATAGTAAATAATAGTTCAATTTTATAAAATACTATGTATCTGTGGTTTATGAATCCGTGTTGAGTTTTTACCCTAGACTTTGGGATTTTTGGAAAAAAATCAAAATTTTCTAACAATATTTTAAAATTTAACTTTTAAATTACAAAATCAAATGCTTTGAAATACTGTCCCTAGATATACTTTGGAAAAAAAAAAAACTTACATTTTTCCCTTTGTTTTGTCTTATATGTGCAGTCTTCTTTTGACAACAAGAAACTTGAAACATGTTTAATATGGTGAATTTTTGTAGAGAAATATCAATTTTGCAATTTCGCCCCGCCCCTCAATCTGACATTTCTTCACGACTGAGATTGAAATGGATGGGTGGAGCTTATCTTTAGCTTTGTTTTTACTTAAAACATTTAGTTTTTTAAGTTTCTTGTTATTAAAAGAAGACTGCATATAATAGGAAAAATAGGAAAAATGTAGGCCCCACCCGCCCGCCCTATCTCAATTGTGATGATTTGTTGTATTCGTCGTAAACCAAGGGGGCGGATCGTAACTGCAAAATCCTTATTTCCCTACAAAAAACTAAAAACATGTTTTTGAGCATCGTGCTTTTCAAAGAAGATGAAATGTATTAAGTATAAAGAAAACCAAATATAAGCTCCACCCATCCGTCTCGATCTCAGTCGTGAGAAATTTTTTATTCGTTATCAGACTTAGGGGCGGGGCGTAATTACAAAATCAGTATTTCCGTGCAAAAATTTAGCATTTTAAACATGTTTTAAGTTTCTTGTTATGAACAGAAGACTACACGTATTAGGAAAAATAGGAAAAATGTCAATTTTTTAATTTTTCAGTTTCCCGATTTTCAATTTTTCGATTTGTCCATTTCCCGATTCTTAAAATTTTCGATTTATATTAAAATATATGTAGATAATACCACACAATTTAAAAAAACATTTGATAACGATAGGATTTGAACCCATACTAGCGGCACAAGACGAGTTCCAAAACCGCTACTTATCCATGCAAGCCACGAGGCATTTTATGTATGAGCGAGATATCAGCTACGGCTATATGAAATATATGGAAAATATTGGACAAAAAAAGTTTTTGTTAAGTAATTGTGATAAAATTCAAAACGGATTCATCAACGACAAGTATAGGAATATTATTTTATAAAATTTAAATACTCTTTACCACGCAAAATAATAAGGGGACGTCATTAAATTGTTGGCGAGAGTGATGATTACACGAATTTTGGTTAGTGTTTTACTATTTACACGATACTCCTAAAATGGATATAAAAATTGACAACAATCGGTCCAGTAGTTTCTGAGTTTGCTGTCTTTTAAATATTGACACAGGCTACAGGCAAACAGACAACAGATATACAAGTGACAGGCAGACAGAAACGGGACACCTACTTTTTTCGTAACCTCTGGGTCATGAAATGTCCAGAAAACGTGAAAGTAGCCAGTAAATGATATTTATCATTTCCCGAGCGTAAGTTAAGAAAGTATTGTAATCGAGTACATCGGCCTAATTTCCACTTTCATGTTTTCTCGACGTGTCATGACCTCTAGAATACGAAAAAAGTGGTCTCCCGTTTCCGTCTGTCTGTCTATATCCATTTTTATTAGACAAGTAATCTCAGAAACTACTGGACCGATTGTTGTCATATTTTGTTTGTATATTAGGGGTATCATATAGATTTAGACTAAAATTTGGCTAATCGTCCCCACCACAAATGGGACGACGTAATTTCTAAAACTCAATAAATTTTTTTTTTTAATTTTGTAAATTAAGATATTCCTGCACTTGTTGTTTGTTAATCCGTGTCAAATTTTCACCTTAGACATCCAGAATTTTTGCAAAAAATTCAAATCTGAATACAGGCGCGGATACAGTATGGGGGGGGGGGGGGGATTTTTGTGCGATTTTACTTATCTCCCAGAAATTCGTTCTAAATAAAAAAATTGATAAAATTTTAGCTATTATATTCTTTTTCACATAACATGGGTAACATTTGGTTGTTTTCGTTACACGTATAGTGTACAGTGAAGTCTCGATAATCCGAATTAATTGAAAAAAAGGTGTGTTCGGATCAGCGATTTTCCCAAAAATCTGAAAGGGAATTGAATAACAACTTCATACACAGTTGAAAACAAATTTCAACAAATAAACCTTAATTTCATTAAACAAAATTAAAGAATTCTTAAGCAACAATGGATAATATATACATTCTAAAAACATATTACTCCGTGACCATAAACACGCTATCTTTTTGGAATCAACAAGCCGGGATCTATACCCTGAATTTTTTCAGAATTTTTAGATGAATTTTTCAAAAATTAAATTTCCCATTTATTACCTCCATTATGCAAATTTCGATCCTTTCTCGACGATTTTCGAAATTTAACTAAATACATTTTCTTGTAGTAGATTTTGGGCTTTAGAAGTCATTTCGGGCTTCATTTCTTCGATAACTTAAACCATTTTTCGAGATTCGTTCAGTTGAAATACCGAAATTTTTAAAAATTTTGAAAAATTCGAATTTCACATCGAATTTTCCGAAAATATTGCTCAGTTACCATTAACATGCTATATTTTTGGAATCAGTGCGTCGGGATATACGTATGTCCCTTAAAATTTTGTCAGAATTTTTAGGAAACTTTTTCAAAAATAAAATTTTCCTCATGCAAATTTCGACCCATTTTCGACGATTTTCGAAATTTAACGAAATACTTTTTCTTGTAGATTTCGGGGCTTCATTTCTTCGATAACTTCAACCTTTTTTCCAGAATTAGTTAATTAATTCAGTGCATTGAAATATCGCAATTTTTAAAAATTTCAAAATATTCCGTACAACAAATGCAAAAAGGTCTTGCGTCATTTTTGCAAGTAGGTGCGTGTTTCCAAGTTTGGTTCGGATTGCAGAGTTTTTGTTCGGATTAAAGAAGCATCGACTTCAAATAACCTCTGTTCGGATTACATAATCGTGAATTCGGATTATAAAGATTGTACTGTATTTACAAAATGAAATGCGATTTCAAAATTTTGAAATTGGTCATAATAAAGTACCTCGGTCATGTGTCACCCATGCCCCCCCCCCTCCTGGATCCGCGCCTGTTTGAATAACAATATTTTGCATTATAACTTTGAAACTGGAAAATCGATTGCTCTGAAATCTTTTAAATATTTTAAGGTTATCGCAATCATGGTAAATCGTTTAGTAAAATTTATTCGTTTGTTACCTCCCAAAAAATTAATGACGACATCTCAAAATTTTGCCGAATAAATCCTATCCAAAATTTGCAAATTATGATTTATTATTAAATTAAAAGTTTTAAAATTTCTTATACACGGTGACTCATAAAAATTAATGAAAAAGTCAATTTATTTTATTGATTAAATCGGGAACGGCTCACTCCGTTTTCCCGAAAATGTGGGAATACAATACTGTTATCATTAATATTACACTGCACTTATCCAAAATGATATACGTGTCTTTCCAAAAATGTTGATGACGTAATCACAAAATTTTGTTAAGGAAAAATTCATTTGGAACGTACGCCCAGCACCCTTCTTTACGTTTACTTTAACGTTACATACATATCTTTATTTTAACTTATAAGGGTTCTCATAAGAAAATAAAATTTGCATAATCAAATTTTATAATTTTTCGAAAAAGCGGGATTTGTATTTCAGAGGGTGAGGGAAGCTCTGTCGAAATAATCTTCGAACAATTTTTCGTTTATAACATGCCAAAAACTATTAAAAAATTGTTTCAGCGTATTTTATTTATCCAAAAACTTTCCACAGTTTTTAATTTTATGCGTGGTTTTAAAATATTTTATAGGGATAAATTTTTCCTTTGACGTACTATTTTATTTAAAAAAACCTGGATAAATGATAGCGACATGAACATCTTATTCCCATTGCTTTTCATTAAATTATGGGAACCTAATTACTCATCTTGTCCAAGTTTTTTTTATATATATAATATGTAGTATTTTTTCGAAAACCTGAGAATACGCCCGTCTTCATTTATTAAAAATTATAGTAATAATATTTGGAATATCCTGTTCGGTTGTGACTGTATCAATAATTTTAGTCCTCCGTTTTGAGGCGACAAACTCATTCAAATCAAAACAATTTTTATTTCCCGAGCGTAAGTTAAGGAAATATAGTAATTGAGTCCATTGGACTAATGGCCACTTGCATTACTAATGACCTGTTACTAGTATTATCTATGTTAATCACGTCATCACAGAATTGTTTATTCATCAAATTAAGAATGAATCCCACTATTTTCTATGAAAATGCGCCCGGTGATTTTAAATAAAGATAAAATAATAATTGAAATTTGCGTTCCCGTGGCGCAGGGATTGGGGGGTGCTATTGACACCGGTTCATCCGTTCACCGAAAAGAATCAAGGAATTTTTATGACTTTGTTTGTCTAGTTAGGTCGTCAAGAAACCTCAGATGTGCTGTTTACAATTTGTCACGTACCTAGTGATTTCGAAAAACTGCCCAATAAAAATTTATCAGTCATACTTACAGAGTCGTGCTGCCTGCAGATGTGTTACCATTTTATTTGATGTGTTTGTGTGACGAATAATTAAAGCAGAACTTCTTGTACCCCTATACCTAGTTTCATTTGATTTGTACAACTGATTCTCCAAATATTTAACCGTTTCCATACATTCTAGAGACCCTGTATAAAGGTTATCAGAAAAGAAACATTTTTTTATATGTTTTCAAAGAAGCGAAATTCGTTGGACTGTACTTCAAGGGCGAGGGAAGATCTGTCGAAGTAACCTTGGACCAATTTTTTAAAATTTCCTAATTTTTTTAATGTTTAAAAATATGGATGGTGCTAACACTTACCGGAATTAAAACCTATAGGTTCTATATAGTTACATAGAACAACATACTAATTTTGAAATAAATGACCTATGTCAACAAAATTAAAATACCCGATATACTCTGATTATACTTTCCTGCAGTGTGGCGAAGTGAAGTCTGATTCAATCTGAATTTCCTATTAATGACATAATACTGATTCTAAATCGATGTCAGGACCACAAAAAAAAATAAATTTAATATCGTCACATGAAAATAATTAAAGTTGCTTCCTTACGTGTTAAGAAGTTGATTTTGAGTATTGAAAGTATGGTTTACAAACCGTTATACTTTCCGGATAACTAATACTGACCTGACCTGACTTGATCCTGAATGTATGCAACTATTGTAGCTAATAAATATTTACAACATATGCAAAATCACGGATTGTACGTTATCTGTTAATACTTGATAGATTGCTTAATTTTATTTCTACAATTTAGCACGCAGTTAATGTTATTTCAGGTTGGACACAACTTAGTAGCTCCTGTAAACTACCTAGAACGCGTCAACCACAACATTTTCGATGAAGACGACGCCACCGACGAACTCTTCACACCATTTCAAGTCGGCTCCAAAGACACGTCGAGTGAAGCGGGATTCTGCCGCGGAATGAAACTAGAAGCTATCGACCCCCTAAACCTATCATCAATATGTGTAGCAACCGTAATGAACGTCCTACGTCACGGTTACATCATGATTCGAATAGATACGTACGAGTCAGATATGACCGGAGCCGATTGGTTCTGTTATCATGTAAAATCCCCCTGTATCTTTCCTGTCGGTTTCTGCGAGAAATACAGAATTCCTCTAACTCCACCGAAAGGTTACGATCAAGAAACTTTCGATTGGAAATCGTACCTAGCCGAAACAGATAATATAGCAGCAGGGCCGGAGTTGTTTAGCTCTTATAAACCCATGCACGGGTTCGTGCCGGGTATGAAAATTGAGGCTGCTGATCTTATGGATCCTAGGTTAGTCTGTGTGGCAACTATCGCTAAAGTGGCGGGAAGGCTGCTTAAGGTACATTTCGACGGTTGGGAAGAGGAGTATGACCAATGGTTGGATTGTGAGAGCCCGGATATTTATCCAGTCGGGTGGTGTCAGAGCGTGGGGCATAAATTGGAAGGGCCGCCGGTTATGCCGAGAGCTGCGGCGCCTGTGGTCAAAATAGCTAAAGGTAATAATTGACGTAACGATTAGTTAATAAATTTATATCTAAACATTACCGCAATTTGTGGAATAGTTTCAATATCCTTCCGAAATTTTTATAAATTCTTTGGGGTCGACTATCGCAACTAAAGTTAACGAGAAAACCAGCAAATTGACGTGACGTCATGCGTTTTTTAGACGAAATGAAAAAATAAATTTTATTAGCGTCTTACCAAATTAGAGTAAGTTTGAAAATTTAGAATTATGCTCTAAAAATTTTAAGACGCATTTGATCAGATAGCAGGAAAATATTTTTTTCAAAAAATGTCTAAACAGTGAATCAATAAAAATCACATCGTTAAAAAACATTTCAATATGAAAAACAAAATTCTTACAACTCTGAAAAAGCAATGTTTTTAACGGAACTGGGAAAGCGCTACGGGTTCTCTTTGTGTTGCTGTATACAATAGAAGTAAGTTCTATCAAAGTTTTGAAGGTAGGATATTTTTTATTTTTCAAAATGTCAGTAATCTCAAATCAAACTAGTTTTAAGTAAGGTGTTTATCAACACACTGACGTTTATCCTATTATAAATATTAATTTGTATGATAATTCTACCAATCTTGAATAAAAATCCAATAAAATTAAGAACTTTAGTAACTAGTACGACGTAGCATAGAAACTCAGTCCTGAAGTAAACTAACTTCAGGATTAATATTGTTTGAACCATTTGACTTGTAAACGTAGTTCTTCTTGCTCCAGGTATGAAAAAACGCGGAAGAAAAAAGAAAATTAAAGACGTGCCGCAGAAGCCTCCCGCAGCAACAAAAGTAGTAAAACCAGAAATGGTAGAACAGGAGCAGATCACCCCAGTTAAAAAAGAAGAAATGGAAGTTGTCGAAGATAATCATGGTCCAGAAGCAGGACAAGAGCCTGCCGGTCCAGACCAAAGTTTACCAGTCTCGTCAGACGTAAATCCACCACCTGAACGCAAGGCAACATCGTATATTAACGTAGTTTTAAAACCACAATTAAAATATAATTTTTCAATGTTTTAATTGCAGACAACAAATACTATAAGTACAAAACTAATACCTCGTTTAGTAGATAACTCAGGAGGAAGTTGCGAAACGGGCGAATTATGCCCAGACGAATGGAATATATTTGACGTAGCTCAATTTCTCAGAGTTAACGATTGCGCAAATTACTGCGACTCGTTTAGTAAACAGGTTAGTATGATGTGGAAAAGTCTGGATGTGGCGGGCTGATAATATTTGTTTCCAGAAAGTGGATGGGAAAATGTTGATGAATCTCAGTAAAGAGGACATTTTAGAATTCACAGGTGGAAAAGTAGGACCGTCGCTTAAAATTTTTGACCTCATACAACAGTTAAAAATTAAAGTTAACCCTGCGCAAATTCGCCATATGAAAGCAAATATCAAAAAATTTTTATAGTGCCTAATTCGTTGACAGTTTGTGTGTACATAAACATAGGTCTCAAAAATATTTTATATATGCTTGATATTTATCTGTTAGTTTAACATTTATGTGTGTATTTCGACCAACTTGCTGCTACTAGAAGGTTCATTTTTGTTTTAAAGCTAATTGTGTATTTTCCATTAATTTTCTTTATTTTGTGGTGATAATATTTTTTTAGATACACATTAAGTGCATACTGTGGAAAGTCTTATGTATTTTTTAAACACACTCATGTACATTCAATTCATAACGACTACGTTGATCACTTATGTCCTGGTATTTTATAATATACTATTTACTATCAAATTTTATGTACTGAAAATTGGCATTTATTCTTTAGCTTACCTCAGTTATACTTGCTTTTGTTTGAGTTAATTTATTTTCAGACGTGTCAATATTTTTGCAAAGTACTTACGTTGAAACTAGAAAAAACAATACAGAATTAGAAGAAATATAAGTTCGACATTGTGAACCAACCTTAATGATATTTACTAGGTACAATTTGAAATACAAAATAGCAAAATAGAAGCTTTATTATTTACACGACCTTTATTAGTACACTTTTCTAGTTGTGTCTAGGAAATAAAAGAAAAGCGACAAGAAAATATCAAGAATGTGGTCCCACACAGGTAACTGAACATGAAGGTTATTATTGTAAGTAAAATTTCAAAACATTTTCTTACGTATGTAGCAATGTAATAAAAACAACAAAACTTTAATTTCGTTTAAAGTGATTACTTGCATACAATAATTATTTTTAAATTCCTCATAACGTAACTTTTACGGAGGTTATTAAATGTAATTACTCTGTACATTTCTTCGCATAATTAAAGATAATGATCATGTGAAATACAAGACATACACTAATTTTGTAATTAACACTGAAACATTGGAAGGCCTCCAATGCGGTTATTATTTAAATCATCGCATTAACGACTGATTTCGTTGCATCAACACTCATGTGTGGTCTTTTTTTTAACACGTTAAAGTTAACTATGTCTTTAGCAACACCAGTTTTACAACATTATTAAACTTTTGACACCAAAATGTACCCAAGAAACTGTAAAGACTTTGTCCGCTTAACAATTTATTGTAAAACAACAGAGAGTAATAGCGGTGCAAGATTACCTCCTTAAATTTGCTCTTCAGAGAACGCCTTTTTAAAAGAATCATCTTGGGAAATAAAACGTTTATACCATTTATTATTTGCTACAGTGTTACAAGCCGAGCCGAGTTTGTGTGGAAGATTTGATTTTTGTTAAAATTAACCAAAATTGGTGTTTTTTGTATCATATTCTAACAGATCTATATAATCTGTGATCATCCTAGCCGTAAAATTAATTTTTTAAACTTTTAAGTGACATATTAATGAGATATTAGTGACAAAATGGGAAATCGGAGTTGCAACAATTACGACTGTAATTATTATCGATCGGTCTGCAACCGTAATGTAGTGTACCGAGTCCTGACCTGTATTTTTAATTGGGTCATGCTACCCTTAAAGTATCGACTTTTCTAGATTCGAAATAGTAGATATTTTATGTGAAGTTAGAAAACACGTGATTTTATCTGACTGCCGTTAATGAAGAAACGTTAATAGTAAATATTCGTGTTTTATTTTATTCATTAGCGAACAGTTTGCAGGTTATTGACTTTAAAATTCAATTTTTAAATTCTTCGCATTACAGAATTGGAATAAACGGTTTATTAAACCGCGTTTTCGCTGCATTGCTCAAGATGGTCTTTACGTCCCAGCGGAATGAATCTTATAAGAATCAGTAATGGCTGGCTGTACATGTTAGACTCGGTCGACAATTCACTTGATAATAACGACCATTCAAATTTTTTTTTACATGTAATAAAGTGAATAATTTATAGTTGTGTGAATAAGCATAAGGTCATCATGATTGATAAAACATTTATTTTGTTTTATTTCCCTTGCAAATGCTAAAAGTGTAAAAATTACGATAGTTTATTAGTGAATGAAAGTACGGTACAGAAACTGTTTATGAATACTTTTTTTAATGAATGGGTTACGAAATTCCTTAATAGCAGACGGAAAATGACACAATAACGTCTTTCGGAACGTACAGTATAAACACAGAAACAAAACGTAGCGAAAATGATTGATAATAAACATTAGGCACGTTTCTTTCGTTATTACATAAAGCTTTGTTTGGTATTTGATTAGCGGCGTCTGTGAAAATCGTACAATTTTGGAGGGAAGGGAAGTCGGGCAGTGGCGTAGGTAAGACATTCTTTGCAGCGCGAACGCCGAGTTAAATTTAATGACTGCGCAAAGTACCTCGTAAAATTAGTAAGCAATCAGTTTAGTCTTCTGAAAAAAGATAAACAGGCCATTTAAAAGGGGTAAATTAGTTTTTATTATTTATTTTATTTGAGCGGATTGCGCTTATAAATTATACCTTAACTGGCACACAAAAGTGGGCGAAAAATGGATTTGCAATTGATTTGTCAAAATTTTGGGGCTTTAGCCACTACAATAAGTGTCAAATAGAATTAACACATTATTAATGACAATATGTAAATGTGACTGAAACAGTTTTCGTTGTTGGAAGATTCCGATAGTGGAAAATAAAAAACCTACCAGCTTATATTTATCACACGGGTGCGTTACTAAGCACAGTGTTCTTCATATATCATTAATTATTAAAAAAACAAATGTCAAAGTTGTACTGTTTTTCGAGTAGCATACATTAAAATTGTTTTCAACTGTCAGAATAACTTGTTTTTAAGGCGAAACGCAACTTTTTTGTAGGTAGAACCCCATACATCTTTTTTTTTAGTTTTTATTCTCTTTTCTATTTATATGTTGATATTTGAAAATCTTAGAAATTACCAATTCCAGACTAGAAAGTTCTAAACACAAAAGAAATACAGTAAAAAGATAAAATGCAGGATGTTTGAAAATTATATATTTTTTTAATCTTTCAAAAGTTTGTCAATATTTCAAGAAAATTGGAATAACGTGACAACGTTGCATCTTAATATCAAAAATAAACAATGTTATAAAACCTAAGAGAAGTTAATCAGAATATTCTGTATTTCACTGTATATACAGGCTGTTCAAAAAATGGCGCACGAGCTCTACGGTATATGTATTATTAAGTTCACAAGTCAAAATTCGAGAAAAGTGATTAAAGTCAGTTTGACGTTCATTTACAAAAACAAAATATCAATTAACACAGATAAATTAAAAAAACCTGAAAAATTAGCCACTGTCAATGAAGATACCCCCAAAATTATTTTGAATAATGGAAGTCCGATCGATTTCAGGTATCCAACACAAAATGGTGAATTAAAATATGGTGAAATTGTCTTGTATCTTCTACATGTGGACAATGGAATTTTTTATTTTTTCTCTGCGGCCTTGAACAACGTGTCATAGAGTTGTTGCGCAATTTTTTGAACACCTGTATATACAGGGTAAGTTAGCTAAAAGGATACACCTCAAATAACTTTTTTATTTATGAACTTATGTTAATGGAGAGCAAAATAATAATAAAAAAATCGTCCCAATTTTTAAAAAAATTATCTGAATTTTTATTTTACTATAAACTGAGACTTTTGTTATGCTTTATTTGCTTTTGTAAAATAGTGTTTTCTTAAGGCATTTATTTTCTTATTTTTAAACTCATGAAATTATATCATTTATTACGCTTCTCCGAACAATCAAATCCAAAATTTTACCAAATTTTACTTAAAGTTGCTTCTAGCAAACAACGTTGGTCAAAAAAATAATAAAATAATAATCTTTTCTAAGAAAAATTGCAATCATTTACAAGTATTAAATAGTGATATATTTTTGAATTAAAAAAAAAAATGCATAATTTGAAAAATAAACAAAACTTAAATAGTATTTTTGCAATATATTTTTTCCCTTGCTTTTTTTGAAGCAGTGAAATTACGCATGCACGCGGACTCTTATTCTCTATTTGTAAATTAGTATCATTACTTTTGGCTAATAAATAAAAAAAAAGTTGAGTTACATCTTAAAAAATAACACGGTACTGCTAAAAATAATGTTAGTGTAAGCGACTCAAAACTTGTGTGACTTAAAATGGTCGTTTCAGCCCGATATATGTAGTTGCAGTTGTTGCATTAAGAAATGAAAAATATGTTTCGTTTTGAGTTTATCTTGGAAGCAAGAACCGCTCAAAAAATGATTTATTTAATAAGTTTTTAATTTCCGTAAAATTCATCACATAATTTGTTTACAGTTTCAGTGTAATTTATGAATACACCTATCCGATGAATGATGAGATGAGTTAACCACCCATTTCACCTGCAGCAAGAGCGAGACGATGGAATCTTATAAGAAGCAGCTCGCGGGTAACACGTTCGTCTCACTAACCGCCGATAAACCCGGAACATTTCTGATATAATTTTTCGTTAAAAATGTCAACAGTGTAATCAGATTGTATTTTGCGCTGATAAGATATTACGAAATGATTTTGTTTGATTTTGCGTCGCCCGGTTATTGTCTCCGCCACTGCGTCAATGTTCGAGTTGGCGGGAAGAACGTAGCGTAGAAACGCTGTGGTCTATACTCTATGGGCGGAGCCTCGCCGCCAGCTGGCAGACGAACATCAGCTCCCGACTCCGATTCCTCCGCGTCGTAAATAGTACCACGATGTAATCGGGCGTAATTCTCGTTGCAATCGGAATTGTGCAAAAAGTTGACTCGCCCGCAGCCCTCTGGGAAGCACGTTGGACCGTGGGCGTCCTTAAATCGAAATATTTTTGCGTTTTTTTTCGCGCGATTCCGCGGATGAATATTACATTGGCGTCAACCAGGCCTCAGCTGTTTCCCGCCAAACGCCGCTACCAGAAAACCGCTGTGAGGCGTAGCGTATGTTTGTCATCCCGCGCTGCAGCGTACTATTGTGCATCAAATTGTGACTGACAGAGTTTTGACAAAAACCTCGAATCGCGTTGTCGTGACAAACCCCGGCGCGCTTCCGGATATTATGTCCGTTTATGTGGACGACGAGCGAGTAGTGTACGACCCCGAGAAGAAGGAAATTTCGGGAAACGCGTCCAGGTGAGTTTGCCGCCTTCCGCCGCCCTGACACATGATTTTGACGTTTGTGTACTTTTTGACTTTGATGGCGCGTCCATAGCCACAGCCGGCCGGGCAACGCCGCCTTGGATTTCGCGTTTCGCCGGCTCAGCTGTTCGCCATTTTGTGGCGTCGGTCCATCGATGCACCTTGCACCGGTGTCTTAACTGGCTTGTGTGCGGCGGCCTTTAGCGATTGCATGCGGTTATAGATAATTCAGACGAACATATGATCGCGATGGAGCGTGATCAAAACGAACAGCTGACGAATTGGCTTGGAATAATTATAGACGGTGAATCAGAAATCGGAGTGAGGTTGTGTTATTTGAGCCACGTGGGTGATGCAAATGTACCACGCCCGTGACGCCGCCGCTTTTTCCTTCTGCCCCCGTACGGTTCGGGCACTTGATGGATTTCTTGACGAATTTCTCGCCAAAATTGTGGGGTTAGTGACACTTCGGAGGCAACGCGGATTTGTTTACACTTTACGCAAAGGAAGTTGCGTATTAAGTTTTCATTCATGTGAAATCTGAAATCAAGGCTGGTGGCGGTGGGACGGTCGAGTGCACCGACAGCACATTCCGATTCTGCATTCATTTGGGATTACGATTTTTTTTTTTTAATCAAAATCCCGTTTACACGGTTTTATCGCATCCACCATCGGTCCACAATTTTTTTTATTGTTGTTAATTTTTCTGACATCCCTAAACCGAAATGAAATATAATACGTTAATAATATAAAAAACATTTCAAGCAACCGCGTAAATATACCGAGTGTTCATAAATGATTATCCGAGTCTCGACTTTTGCCGCCTTATTGAAATACGAACTGCAAGACAATCCTGGCGTTACGTGATAGTCCAGCCCACTGTAATTGTGAGCGGCAAATTTGTTTAAAACCGACTTTCAAAGGTATTTTGATCAAATCACTTAAGACAAGTGATATTTTATTACCATGTATCCACGTTTTTTTTAATAACAAAAAAACTGGTTTGAAATTAACTTGATGTACAGAGTGATTTTGGCGTTTTTGATTTTATTTCGGTAATCAAAATTTCAAAAATTTTAATGCAGTCACTTTAACGTTTCAGGTTTATAAATTTTATAAAAACTAAAAATATAAAGTTACAATAGTTAAAGGTGTTTCACACTTTGTGACAGTGAAATGACATTCGTGTTTGACAACATGACTATTATTCAAAAAAATGGCAAATTTGATGTGACACTAAAAAACATATTTTTTCTAATGTTTGTACCGTGGATCGAAAATACAGTGAATTGGAGTTGGCGCTCCCTGTCAAGTTTTGTGTGGTGCTACTACTCACAGTTTGACGTAAATCAATGTCAACTAAAGCACTTCTCTTGTATAGCTGTCACTGGAGCAATGTAAACCTATGTAGTTTTTCTCACAAATCGACTCTAATCGTTTTATTTTCGATCGCACGACGTCAGATAGTTTTTACAGTGTTGGACGCATGTTTACTCGAAAAAAAGTTGTGTACTACATAATACAGCTTTTAGAAAACAGCAATAGAAATGTTTTTGTATATTTATAGTTACAGTTTTACATATACGGATATGTGATATGGAAAAAACTGGATGTATATACCGAGGTATTGGAATGGCTAACTAACTACTCATGTTTCAAAAGGGGGCTAAATTTAAAAAATGTCCTAGCAGTTGGCCATTTTGAAAAAAGAAATATGGCGACATATAGAAATTACGAATCTAAAAAAAATATAGTTGTATCTGAAAGGAAAAAAAAAATTGGGCTGTAACCGCCACGTATATTTTGACTTTTTTCCTACTTCCAGTAAACTTGATTTTAACTATATTTCAGTTTGGCAATTTTGTTGAAAATTGTGATATTTGGCAGTATATTACCGTGTGGTTTTAAAACTATTTGGTTGTGTTACAGAGGGTAGCAAAAATTTTACAGGTGGCTTCGTGACGTATGTGATCTTTCAGTGAATATAATTATTATACAAGTTTTGCCGCCATAATTTTTAGGTTAATATTGCATATTCAATAAAATTTCTAGTAAATTTTGTGGCTTCTAGACTGGTAACCATTTTTTTTTCATGTCAAGAATGAAATCGGGTCAATAACAAAAAGAAAAAAAAACATTGTTGCTCTTTTTCCTTCCGTCCGTCCGCTGTCGATCAATTTTTGTTAGATAGATACTCTCCGAAACTACGGGACCGATTGTTGTAAAATTTTATACATGTTGAGGTTTTACCCAAGACATCCAGATTTTTGGATGAATATGTACTTTGAAAAGTTGCAGATGTTTTAAAGCTGTTGGTAAATTTTTATTCAAAACAATTGTTTATCTCCCCAAAAAATTGATGACGTCATCTCAAAATGTTGTCGAATAAATCCTTAAATGTGCAAAATATCAGTCTATACTTGATTTATCTCTGCATATGTTTGAGAACGGCTTATACAGGGTGACTCAAAAAAATTAATGACGATCGAAAAAATAAAAGTTTGTCCCTCCAAAGAATTGATGACGTCGTCTAAAAATTTTTCCGAATAAATTGTATCGAAAATGTGCAAAATGTACTTGTGGGTTTATCATTGCATTCATGGGTGGCTTTAAAAAAACTAATAGACGAATAAATTTATTTTATTGAGTAAATCAGGAACAGTTTACTCCATCTGCACCTGTCCAAATTGATACAGGTGTCCTTGCAAAAGTGTGACAAAATTTTGTAAATGAAAAACTCATCTGAAACACGTTAACTTCTGGGGGTTCTCGTTAAAAAAGTAAAATTCGCAAAAGCAAAATTTATAATTTTTAGAAAAATCTGGATATGTTTTACTGTAGTTGCTTTCGGGGTGAGGGAAGTCCTGTCGACCACTTTTTTTTTTACTTTTAGTAACTTCGATTGACCATTTTTTTTTATTTAATCTAAAACCAATACGATTTGGTCCATAGAAACAAGAAAAACGCCATCAATAATTTCATAATCATTGTTTTAGTAGTAAAAGAAACGTCAATTTGCGTCAAAATTTTCACGAGATTCGTATATTCTAAGCTATACACAGACGTAACTTTGGCTACAATTCAATGTGGTAAAACCTCAGATAAACACAGAAGTGTCACTTGACGTCAAGTATGTCATTCGTGTCATTTTGTTTTCACGCTTAAATGTTGTGGTTAAAGCTTCAGAATTTTGACGAATCAGGTGTGGACCATTGCCGCCAACCCGTTTTGTCTAATTTTAAACTTTTGAGAGACAATGAAAAGGATTTGTTGGATTATATTATTTACTGATTTAACGCTGATGTGTTCCTCTGATTTTTTATACCACAAATTTTTGTCTACATATCTACAGGGTGTCTCACGCTCCTACGGATTAAGCTCATTTTGATATTGTTTAAGTTTTACTTACCTTGATTTTAACGAAATTAGATGTATGCAAATTTTGTAGCGATGTTTCAAAATTGAAATTTTTTCTGTTTCTCAATTTATTTCGTGGTCACCAGAAATAGAGTCAACTTTGTTTATATACCACGTGTTTGTTTTATTTGATACAACCTCTGTGACTTTTTTATTTTCAAAGATAAACAGTTCTTTGAACAAATTTATATCATTTTAAATTTTTAAAAGATCACTTGTGTGAATAAATGACATGAGTGTCAATTCTTCAAGCTACTAGATTGTCATCAATAAATATGAATTTGTCGTTTTTTATGGAATAACTTTTTAAGTGTTGATTTTAGAATATTGGTTGCTTTTGATTTTTTAAAAAATCAATCTTTCCACTTGTGAAAAAATATACCCAGTGTTCCATCGGAAGTGATAATATAAAAATTTGGTCAAAGAACTACAGATTTATCTTTAATATGTAATAAAAAAGTTACAGGAGTTGTATCGAATAGAAGAACCACCCTGCATATGAAAACATCTGAAAAAAAAAGAAATATAGTCTAAAAATGTAATGTTCCAACTTGTCCACAACAGATATTTAGAAAAGAAATGATTCTGTCAAACGATGGTTTCTTTTATTGGATATTATATTCCTTTTTATTAATTTGTGTAAAAATTAAGTATAACTTACGGTTCTGAAACCACATATAGTTAGAAAATGTATCAATTTAGTAAAAAAGGTCAAATTACATACAGTAAAATTCATTTGCATGCGACAAAAACCACAGTTTGTTTCTTTGGTAAACGTATTAAATAATCTTGTTAACAATATCCTGAAAATCCCGTCTTCTCGTCTCGCCGCGTCCGTAGCCACAGCCGCGTCAACCACGCCGCCTCGGATTCTCTCGTTTCGCCTTCACCGGTTCAGCTGTACGCCATTTTGCGGCGTCGGCCCATCTTATGCACCTTGCACCGGTGTCTAACCACCTTGTGCGCGTCGGCCTTTGGCGATTGCATGCGTTTGTAGGTAATTCAGATGAACACATGAACGCCATGGTGCGTGATCCGAACCAACAGCTGACGAATTGGCTCGGAGTAATTGCATATGGTGAATCACAGAGTGAGGTTGTGTTATTCGAGCCACGTGGGTGATGCAAATGTACCACGCCCCTGACGCTGCCGCTTTCTACTTTCTGCCCCCGTATGCTCGATGCATTTTTCGCCGGTCGCGGATTTATTGCGGAATTTCTTGCAGAAATAGAGAACTCGTGGGGTTAGTGACACTAGAGTCAACGCGGTTTTGTTTACACTTTACGCAAAGGAAGTTGCGTATAGTTTTCATTCATTGAAATCTGAAATCGAGCCTGGTGGCGGCGGGACGGTCGAGTGATCGAAGTTGGCGTTGGAGAGATATGAAGTTTCGTTTTTAGTGGAGACATACTGTATGTAGAATTTAGTGTGTATGTTTATGTGATTACGTACTGTACATATTGATGAATTATGTGTTTTTTTGCCCATTTCTGTTCATATAATTACTTCACGAGTTCAGTATTTAAAAGTCACGAGCTTCGTTCACTGCTGAACATATTTTCATTGTTGTAAGTTCA